TCCCTCTGTATGGAGACACCCTCTGTATGGAGTACACAGTGAGAATCTGGTCATCTGCAAGCCAGAAAGAGAGCTCTCACCTGACCTTAGTGTCACCCTGAACTTGAACTTCCAGAAAGCCTCCAGAACTGTAAGAAAATAAATTTCTGTCATGTAAGCCACCCAGTGTGTGGTGTGGCATTTATGACAGCCTGAAGTAAGACAGCAGAGCATTTAATCAAAACTCTTTTGATGACAGGTGACAGAAACTCCGTTTGAATTGGTTAGGAAAAAAAGTATTCATTCAGGGAACTCTAGGAAAGGTTGAACAACCCAAACAAGAAAAGAATAGGTACTGAGAGGAAACCACTGGCTTCTGCCATGCTGCGTTTACGACTTATCCCCAGAGTTCAGTGGCTTACCTAATCCTGGGGTTTGGAGTAGGGGTCAGGGGATGAGAGAAGAGAACTAAGGAGAACTGGAGGGGGCCACGATGTCACAAGCACCATCCCATGGCAGATCTAAGCTTTCATGGATGTCCCCATGGCAGCATCTGTCTGAGAGTAGAGAGGAACTTGTTTATTGATGTATGATATTCCACCTTGGGGTAAGCTCACCACTAGTGAGTAAAAGAAACACCCTCTTTCTTTCTTCCCTTCAGAAAAACACCTTCCTGCTTAAAGAAAACATACTTCTTTGCTTGGAGCAAGAAGAACTGAGGACCTTTCTGTTGGGAGTGGGGTCAGGCCCATCAAACTTTGCATCAGAGTTCAGTGTTCCCAGGGTGGTCATCGTGCCTTAGGACAGAAGTTGTAGAGCTTTTGGTATTTCAATTTTTTTTAAGATTTTATTTTTAAGTAATCTCTATACCCAACATGGGGCTCAAACATACAACCCTGAAATCAAGAGTCACATGGTCTACCAACTGAGCCAGCCAGGTGCCCCAGGTATTTCAAATATTTCTAAAATTTTATTTCAAATTTATTATTCTAACAGTATTTGACCTCTTTGGAGCATTTGATGCTGCTTCAAAGATGATCCCTTTGCCGTACATTCTCCTGGTTCTCCATTTTCCTTTCTGGCTACTCCTTCCTAGCCTCTACTTCCTTGCCAATCCTTCAGTGTTTATCTGTAGGGCTCTGCCTTAGCCCCCCTTCTCCCTGGCTCATCTCAACCATTTCCTTGTCTTCACCCACCACCTATATATAATGATGACTCTCAAATCTGTATCTTCAACCCAGTCCCTGCCTTCAGTCTCACGCAAACTACAGTCTGCTGGCCTTGGCTCATTCGTAAATGCCTCAATGCTCAACATAGCTAAGACTGAATTCAACATCTTCACCCTTGCACCCCTCCCCACTACCACAAGAGCTGTTTTTTTCTTCTGGGTTCCATACTCAGAAGCCTGGTTTCTCTTTCCTACTAACACAACCTACAACTCAATCACCATATCAGAATTCTTCTTCCTAAATTCATCTTAAGTATCCATATCTCCATCAGCACTGCTGTGTCACTCTAGGCCACCAGACCTCACCAGGATTATTTACAAGTTTCTTTTTTTTTTTTTAAGATTTTATTTATTTGAGGGACGCCTGGATGGCTCAGTCGTCAAGTGTCTGCCTTCGGCTCAGGTCATGATCCCAGGGTCCTGGGATTGAGTCCCACATCGGGCTCCTTGCTCCGTGAGGAACCTGCTTCTCCCTCTCCCTCTACTGCTCCCCCTGCTTGTGCTCTCTCTCTCTCTCTCTCTGACAAATAAATAAATAAATAATCTTTAAAAAAATAAAAAGATTTTATTTATTAGAGAGAGAGAAAAAAAAAACACAAGCAGGGGGAGTGGCAGAGAGAGAGCAAGAAGCAGACTCCCCACTAACTGCAGAGCCCGATGTGGGGGCTCGATCCCAGGACCTCAGGATCATGATCTGAGCTGAAGGCAGACACTTAATCGACTGAGCCACCCCGGCGCCCCTACAAGTTTATTATTTCTGTTTTTGCCCCTCTCGCCCAGCCACTTAGTGTTGCAACTAGATTGATTTTTCTGACTAAAGAGCTAGGAGATAAGTTATTTAAGACATTTACTATATACCCACTATGTAACAGTGGTTTCAGGACATGTAGAGGAAAAGGACACTATGGGGGGGGGGGAGGCTGTTTGTTTTTGCAAATATTGGCCAAATATCTACGTGGTGTCTTAAAAAAATTCTAATCACAAAACTTTTTAAAATAATGATTTTACTGATATATAATTCACATACCATAACATTCATCCTAAAGATGTATTAAATGGTTTTTATATTCACAAAGTTGTGCAACCATCACTATTTAATTCCAGAATATTCCTTCTCTCCCCTCTTCCCCTCCCCCTGGCCACCACTGATCTATTTTCTGTCTCTAGAAATTTGCCTATTCTTGTATTTCAAATTAATGAAATCATATAATATGTGGCTCTTTTTTTTTTGGTCTGGCTGTTTTCACTTAGCATGTTTTCAAGGTTCATCCACATTGTAGCATGTATCAGTATTTCATTCATTTTTGAAATTAATTAAAATAACATAAATTTATTTCCTCATGGTTCTGAAGGCTGGAAGTCCCAGATCAACATGTTGGTGGACCAAGTTTTCCTGAGGCCTCTCTCCGTGGCTTGCAGATGGGTACTTCATTACTTTAATATTTAATATTCTATCATGTGGATATATCACATTTTGTTTATCCATTTATCAGTTGGTAGGCTTAGGGTTGCTTTCATTTGGCTACTATAAATAATGCTACTATGAACATTCATGTACAAATGTCTGTATGGACTTATGTTTTCATTCTCATGGGTATACACCTAGGAGTGGAACTGCTGGGTCATTTGGTAAATTTAACCTTTTGAATTGCCAGACTGTTTTCCAAAGCAGCGGCACCAATTTACAATCCTACTAGCAGTGTGTGTGAGGGTTTCAATCTTTCCACATCCTCACCAACACTTAATGTCTTTTTTTAGCCATTTTAGGGAGTGTGAAGTGGTATCTCATTATGGTTCTGTATGTCTCCTTTGGAGAAATATCTATTCAAATTCTTTGCCTATTTAAAAAATTGAATTGTCTTTTCATTGTTGAATTGTAAGAGTTCTTATACATTCTGAATGCTAATCCTTTAGATATATGATTTGCAAAAATTTTCTTTCATTTTGTGGATTGTCATTTCACTTTCTTAATGGTGCCCTTTGACACACACAAGTTTTTAGTTTTGATGAAGTCCAATTTACCTATTTTTCTTTTTGTTGTTGTACTTTTGGTGCCATATCTAAGAAACTATTGGCTAATCCAAGATCATGAAGATATAGTCCTATTTTCTTCCAAGGGTCTTATAGTTTTAGCTCTTACATTTAGGTTCTGGGATTTATTTTTTCATTTATGGGCAAGGTAGTTCCAACATCATTCTTTAGCTTGTGAATATTCACAGAACTTTTAAACTGTACGGCTGGTCTTTCTTTGCAATTAGACTATAAACTCCATGAGGGCAGAGACCAAAATGATCTTACTAAATTTTTTTTAAAGATTTTATTTATTTGTCAGAGAGAGAGTACAAGCAGGGGGAGCAGAAGGCAGAGGGAGAAGCAGGCTCCCCACTGAGCAGGGAGCCCAATGTGGGACTCGATCTCCAGGACCCTGATATCATGACCTGAGCAGAAGGCAGACGCTTAACCGACTGAGCCACCCAGGCGTCCCTAACTAAATTTTTTCTGAATGAATGGATGAATTAGGTTGACAGAATATCAAGTTTCTTTTCTTTTGTCTGAAACCATATCAATTCTGTGCAGTACCACTGTTTTCATTATGATGTTGGCAATTCAAATCTGTTGACAGTAACAATTCAGAAACGAATACACAGGCTGATAGGAATTGTATTATTTAACAGGCGTCATGGTAGTGAAACCGATTTGGATTCAAATCCTGACTTTAAGAACTGTGTAACCTGGGGCAAAGTACATTACCTACTTCTTATTCTATAAAATGGGGATTTAGTTGGTGTAGCTGTCAAAAAGATTAAATCAGATCTTTTAACTACAATGCTTTACACATTGTAAGCATTCATCAAATAGTGCATTTATTACTGCAAAGAACTAGCAGCAATGTCGGGAAATCCATTAACATACTTTTGTCCAAAATTTCTTCAGAGTGCAGATTCCAAGATTACCATTTTCTTCTGTGAATTGAGAATTGTCAGACCTTTGATTTTTGATTCGTAAAGACATACACAAAAATTCAATTCAATGTGGAATATTAAAAATAATATTTTATTATTTGACAGAGAGAGAGAGAGAGAGAACACAAGCAGGGGGAGCGGGAGAGGGAGAAGCAGGCTTCCCGCGGAGCAGGGAGCCCAGTGTGGGGCTCGATCCCAGGACCCTGGGACCATGACCCGAGCGGAAGGCAGACGCTTAATGACTGAGCCACCCAGGCGCCCCTCAATGTGGAAATGATCCTAAAGATGTATGTAAATACCATGGAATTCAGAGTGTCCTGAGCAATAGAATAAAATACCTTGTTGGGTTAAGAACTTAGTAGACAACGGGCTGAGCACAGATTGTAGGCATTTGGGGTTCATCCCAGTGTGGCACATATTTCAGTTTTGTACATTACTTGTACATTACGTGTCTGTCTCATCCACCAGAGTCAGCACAGAAACCCTGTCTTCAGTCATCTTTGCATTTGCCGTACGGTGGACACTGCACGGACAGTTGAATTGAGGCGCCTTGTCCACGGGCGTCAGAAGGGATTCCCTGGATAGGAATGGAGAAGTCCTAAGGGGGTTGGAAAGACCTTGGACCCACTGCCAAGGAGAGAAGAGCAGCTCAGGTATGGAACGCACTGGTCCTATTGCTCCAATCGTACGCAAGTAACGGAGAGAACCACAACCGACTGCCTCTTCCCCGCTCCCGGCTCGGCAGGGCCACTTCCGGGAGGGGGCGGGGAGACAGGAGGAGGCGTGCCGGGAAGAAGGCCGTTTGCGCCGCACCGGGCGGAAGTGTGCCAAAGGTATCGGTGCTGCGACTTCCGGTCCGGGCTAACGCGGCTGAAGTACACTGCGTGGTTTGTGTGGTGCGGTGACAGACTTCTGAAGGCAATTCAGTGGGTGAAGAGGCGAGCATCGGCGTCTGAACTCAGAAGTCTGGAGTCTAGTGAGAGGATAGGGAAAAAAGCCAGGAACCCGAATACAATCTAACCTCTGTTTCCGAGGGGGCAACTTCCACGGGAACCCCTCTGCCCTGGTAACGGCCAAAGAGGAGATGGCGCCAGTCAGGGAGCGGCCGTGGCCGACACAGTGAGGAAGCTTGAAGGCGGAGCAACCGGAGAAGCCTCCGGAGAACAGCCAGAGCCGTCGCTGTCGCTACCACTGCCACCACCATGGAAGGGGCAAAGCCGACTTTGCAGCTCGTATACCAGGCAGTGCAGGCGCTTTACCACGACCCAGATCCCAGCGGAAAGGAGCGCGCCTCGTTTTGGCTTGGAGAGCTGCAGCGTTCGGTGAGGGGCCCACAGAGGCCGTTCTGCGCCGCGGGGCAAGGGCGGGGTGGGACCTAGGCTCGAGCTGGATCCTGAGCCGGGCGGTTGGCCTCGTGAGATGCTCCTTAGGGAGGAGCTGCTGCCGCGGGGTGGGGCTGCGAGGCTACATTTACGCCGCTTTTCGGAAACTAGTCGCTGCTGGTCGGTCGCGAACTGGCCCTTTCCCCACCCCGTACAATCAGATTTGTAGGTCCCGTACTCGCTTGTGGTATCGATCTGGTCCTGTTTAAGTTTTACGCTTGCTACTTGCTTCTTAGGCCCTGCTTTCGCGTTTAGCCTTCCTTCAAATCCAGTCCCAGTGTTTCTCCATCTTCCACTTACGGGTGCTTTATCCGTCTCCTTTCGGTGTCCCAGTGTTCGCGTCTGGCAATTCCATCCCAGTCGTAGCCTTGCACCTTAGTGTGTCTTACTGATTTTTCACTAAGTAACAGTGATAGTTTGAATCTATTATTCTCGAAACTTCTCAAGGTTCTAGATTCTTTTACAGGCGAATTTCCACCGTGTTTGGGAGTACAACGTGATGTAAAGAGAAAAATACCAGTTGAAAATTCTTGCAGTTAGTTCACATCTTGCTGCATATTTGTTCCCTAACCTTGTTTTTTCCTTGACTTTAGGTTCTTTATAAGATACTGGTATCCATAGCTGCCTTGATTATTCCATATGACTGTGTGAACATCCAGTTAGGGGGTTAATTTCAGCCTGTTAGACCTATTGTATTTCTGCATTCTTTAATTCACGTGTCTTAACTTTCCTCTAAATTTCATACTCACTTTTTCTGTGCTTTATTTCTGTGTGTGTGTGTATACTTGGTGATCTTGCTGACTTTACCTTTCTTACTTTTGAATTTTATATTCCCAAGCATATTTTTAAAGTTTACTCCTTCCCCTTTCTCCCCCCCCCTTTCTTTTTTAAAACTAGTAACTGATACTTAAAGGTGCTCTGCCCTTCTAAATGAGACTCTGGGCTGCAAGTGCGTAATAAATATTTAAAATTTTGCAACTTTGGCTTTAGATATTACATTTAAAAATTTGGGGATCCCAAGTTCTGGATAAACTCATGGGAAAAGATAAAGGAATAAGACTCACTGTAGGCTCCACAAGAAAATCATTCACATGTGCTCTTATTTAGTGTTTAGTTTTTGGGGAGTTATAAATCTGATACATCGTACTAAAAGTCATCTCTTCCCTACTAAACTTGCTTTTTGTTGTGTGTATTTTAAAATAAATATTTGTGTGCTTACCCTGTACCACAACTGTGCTAGGCTTTGGTATATGCAAATGAACCAGGCAAAAATCTCTGCTTGCCACATAGTATATTTGTGATGACTAAATGAGTTGATATCTGCAAAGAACTTAGAAAAGTTCTTGGAACCCAGAGTTTAAAATATGTTAGTAATTGTTATTTAAATGGTAGTCACTCTTCTTATTTTCCACTACCATCTGTTACAACCTTACATTTATCATCATTATTACTATTTACAGTAAGGGTCCCAACAGGAACAGATGGCACACTTGTAATAGAATAGTTCAAGGAGGGCTTATTTTATAAAAGTATTGTTTATAAAGGTGCTGGTATAATGTGGTACCACAAGAGATAATGAAGTAACCTGTAGCCAAACTAATTAACATCCATAGGCAGGAAGGAATAGGAGAGGGAGTAGTTACTTGAACTCTGAAGGAAAGTGTGGAGTTGGCTGCCTTGAGAGGAGATGGGCTGGAGGAATAAATATATTGACCTTATTCCCCTAAACTCCTGGGATTCTTCTTTGGGCAAACCCAAACAAAAGCTAGGGGACAACCAGAACCAGTTGATATAGTCCATATAGGTCAGCATAGTGGGGCAAAAAGCAGTAGGGAAGGGTGGGAAAGTGGACCTAAAAACACATCATTTTTAGGCAACTTCGGCATCAGGATTCACAACTCAGCTGACATTTCAGCCCCTTAATTCCCTTACCTCCTTTTCTCAGCCTCATGGTCACGCTGTCACATCTTGGATCTTTCCATTACTAAAAAGCCACCAATCCTCAAGTCGCTAACTCAGCTACATGGTCACACAGTCACAACCTGAATCTTGTCATTATTAAAAAGTCACCAGCCTGGGGTGCCTGGCTGGCTCAGTTGGTAGATAGAGTATGTGGCTCTTGATCTTGCAATCATGAGTTCAAGACCCATGTTGGTATAGAGCTTACTTAAAATAAAAGCGGGGGAGTGCCTAGCTGGTTCAGTTGGTTAAGCTTAGGTCTTTATCTCAGGGTGGTGAGTTTAAAACTCATGTTGGGCTCTACATTGGTGTGGAGCCCACTTTAAAAAAAAGTTACCAGCCCCCCACATCACTAACTCAGATATCTGCTCTAATCACAGCCCACTCTTCTAGTTTGCTGCTTAGGGATTCAAGTAACCTTATATAGTAGGCATTTTTTGAAATCTATGATTTTAATTTCTATCAAAATTAAAAAGTTATGGGGCACTTGGGTGGCTCAGTCGGTTAAGCGTCCAACTCTTGATTTTGGCTCAGGTCATGATCTCAGGATGGTGAGATCCTGCCCCTGTGGGGGGCTCTGCACTGGGCAGGGAGCCTGCTTAAGATTCTCTCTCTCCTAGTTCCCCGACCTCTCACTCACATGCTCCCTCTCTCAATAAAAAAAAACAAAAACACCCCCCCCAAAAAACATATATATATATTTTTTTAAGATTTTATTTATTTGACAGAGAGAGACACAGCGAGAGAGGAAACACAAGCAGGGAGAAGCAGGCCTCCCACGGAACAGGGAGCCTGATGCGGGGCTTGCTTGATCCCAGGACCCTGGGAACATCACCTGAGCTGAAGGCAGACGCTTAATGACTGAGCCACCCAGGCACCCCATGTAGTTGTATTTTTAAAACTTAAAATATTTTAAAATAAACTTTTAAAACTTTAAAAAGTTATAAAATGGATTTTACAAGAAAAAGTCCTAGGATGTAAAGAGCAGTTATGTTTAGACTTTATTCTGTGAAAGATGAGGATTTGGGCTCCCTCCATCTTCTGTTGCATCTCTCTAAACATAGTTATATCAGTTTTTGTTAAATATACACAACACACATTGTGAACCACATAGCATATATAACATGGTAATTTTTCCTTTTTTGTGCAACTTTTTTTTTCTGGTGGTAGTCATTACCTTTTTCTTTCTTTCACATTTACTTCATTTTCTGTATATCTGTAATAATTTGTTCAAAACCCTCTGAGTATGTAAATATCCTCTTAGTATGTTCAGATTGGTAATCTCTTTCCTTTTTTGGTAGAAGAAAACCTCTCCCTAAAGGGCTCTATCTTCCTGCTCGATCTGACCTTGTTATTCTCCAGGTCTGTTGCATAATTATTGTCCTGGGATCTCTAACCCTCCTAGGGAATTACATTCTCTTTCTTGTGTTAGATGCATTGAATCCTGGATCCCATGATCTTTTCTAGGATTACTCCCTCATTTGATGGCTAATTGAGAAGGGAACCTTTACCCCTTCTCTCATATTTCTGTTGGTCTTTTTTTCTTGGACCACTTTTATCCTGAGAGCAATCCTTTGGATATAAATGGGGCTGCCAGTGCAGGTGGGAGAATGAACCAGGGAATGGATCTTACCACGATGTATGTAGGCTTTATTTATTTATTTTTAAAGATTTTATTTATTTATTTATTTTTTTTTTTAAAGACCTACAGTTTCTTTATTGAATAACAGTATTTAGAAATCAAGATCTAGACACTAGGCTTTATCATGGCAGCTATGACATCAAGACTTGTAACGACTTGTTGCCATATATTATAGCTATGTTGCAAACCATCAACATTACTTGAAATCAACAAATTACATTTTCAGTGTTCAGCCTATATAAAGATTTTATTTATTAATTCATGAGAGAGAGAGAGAGAGGCAGAGGCAGAGGGAGAAGCAGGCTCTCCATGGAGCAGGGAGCCCGATGCGGGACTCGATCCCAGAACCCTGGGATCACGACTGGAGCCAAAGGCAGACGCTTAACCGACTGAGCCACCCGGGTGCCCCAGTATGTAGGCTTTAATTTAATATATTTTCAGTATGATATTCTTGTCCTTAGGTGAGTCTATTGGCCAAGAGTGCAGAGTCCTTCTGTATCAGTCTTTCCAAAGTAAATCTTGAGTCTTCTGTGACGGTGGGAGGATAGTAGCCTGGCCGCTCAGTCTAACTGCTTATTACAGATTTTGAACCCACTCCTATGTTTTTTCTTCCGCCTGTGCATCTGCCTTCTGGTGTACCTTTTAATTCTTGTACCTGGTACTTTAAATTCACTGAGATTTTGCAACGTGAATCATTTTGCCCCCTTGGCTTTCCGTTTCTTATCCTGTCCTTCCTCTGAAAAAGTTTCAACTTTTTCAGACCTGCTAAGACAGTTAACTCCTCAATAAGCATTCTAGTTTTCACAGTTTTGTTAATATCAGTCATGTTTCCATTCTTTTTGTCCTTATGGAACACCCCCCCCCATTTTAAAAAATCTCTTTACTCTGATTTTAGTAGATTTTTGGAAGGGACCCATGGGCAAACAAATGTATTCAATCAGTTCAGTCATGTTAAACAAATCCCCGAATTAGTTCTTGAATTTCATCAAAACCTTATTCAGTTGACTGGCTCCTATTGTTTCTTCGTTAGGTCTTGTCTTACTTTTCTCTATCTAATTTGGATTACAAGGTCTATCATTCTAGTAATTTTCATAAATATACTGTACCATCAGCCCTTCACCTCTGATTTGGTATAACTTCAGCATAGGTGTAGCCAACTGCTTCTCCCTTCTCCTGTCAGGTCTAGGTGCTCTGCATCCATTTTCTGAATTCTTAGGAACCTTGATCTTTTGGTTATCCTCTCACTTGCATCTTCAGACTCCCTCTTTACTGCGTCTTTCCCATCAGCATTCATACAGCGGTAGTATTTCCCATAGTAAGCAAATGGTTATGGTGGGGA